GAGAGACGGGCGGAACGCGGCCCGCGTTGTCACCCTCGGTCCGGGTCCTGCTCCCCGGGTCGGTAACGGGTCAGGGACGGCTCCTTCCCAAGCGCTGCTGTGTGCAGGCCTCCCCTGAACTGACAGCCGGCTGGTTCCTGTACCCGGATACCCCTGTGATATCCCCCCTCCTGGGGCATAAGTGGCACCACGGCAGTGACCTCCTGGCTCAGCCCCCATCAGTGACACCCCCGGCCTTGTCCAGCCCATGAGCAATGGAGCAAACCTACCTCCAAGCCCAGGCTGAACTGGGGTCCTTCCCTGTCCCCCCAACCTGGCCGGGCTGAACCTCCCCTGAGCAGGAGCTGGGTCTGATCCCGTCTTTCCCCAGACCAGGCTTGGAGACCTCCCTGGGGTAGGATTTTACCGCAGAATCCCCCTTTCTTTGGTCTCAACCAGAGGTGGGCAGTGCCACCCCCTGTCCTTTTGCTTCCCCCTGTCCAGGGAGGCCCTTGGAGAAGATGCGGAGGCAAAGAAGACTGAGGAGGAGGAGAAGGAGCAGAGAGGAAGCCACAAGCAGGTTGAGGAGAGCAGGCAGGTGCGGTACCGAGATAGAAAAGTCCTCCCGGGTCCTTGGCCTTGGCTTTGCCCTCCTTTTAAGTGTAGTGTCACACAGCAGCATTAGCGTGGGGAGCGGCGGTGACACAAACTCCTCAGGACGGGGAGGGAGGTGGTTCTTGGGTGGGATCCTAGGGCTGTGATTTCCCCTTGACAAACCGCCCGTCCGTCTGTGGAGCTCGGCTGTTGGGACGGGCTCTCTCCTTCGCAGAGGCTGGCCAAGCTGCTCTTTGAAGGCACGCAGCTGGTGACAAACATCCAGGTGGCTGCCGACTCGAGGGAAGCGCAGAGGAGGGCAGAGGAGGCCGAGCTGAAGCTGCAGAGGTGAGGGGCTGTGGGTCTGCGCTGCTGGGAGGACGTTCACTCTGCTCCCAACGCGGCTCCTCGAAGGGACATCCCAGCTCTCACCACGCAAGGATGCTTCATTAAACCTTAGGACCTAGGGCCGTGCTGATTTTATGTTCAAGGGCAAAAAAATCCCATGCTGACACACGTTGTGGCCAGCTGACTCTGTAAAGAGCACCCCAAGCCAAGGTGGCTGCAGGAGGTGGCACCACTGTCCTACAGCCCAGGTGGTTACCCACCTCCTCCAAACCCATCGCACCTTCAGCTCCACATCATGAGAAGCATCCTGGGCTCTCGGCTTCCCACCAGGAATGCTGCAACATGTGCAGCTGCTCCAGAAGGTTGGCATAGCTGCCCTCACTTCTTGTTTGCCACCGAGCTCCACTGAACTTAGGACACAGAGGAGGTGGCACTGGGGGCAGCGAGAGGGGGAACACGCCAGCCTGCAGTAAAAGGGATCTCAGTAAATAACCCATGTCCCAGCTGCAGTCTAATGCCACATCCTCTTGATCCAGCTGGTCGAGGAGGTTCCCTCGTGACGTGTGGTTTCATCTAGAATGGACAGAAAAGGAAATGATGGTCCTGGAATGATTGTGTGTGTGATGCCGAGTGTCCCTGTCTGTGGCCTGAAGCACCCAAATGAGTTAAATGATTAACTTGGAGCCACTTCTGTAACTATTTCAAGACAGGCTTTGAGTTTACAGCAAAGAGCAAATCTAGAGCCATGGGGAGGTCTAATTTGTCAAGACTCCCTGGAGAGGTTGCAAATTGCAGCAGGTCATGGGGCATCACAGCCAGAGCACTGTGTCCTGGGGCCTTCTGTTTCCAGAGGTTGCCCTCTGGTAGCGGAGATAAGGATAGTTATTAACCACATCGTGAGGATGTGCCGGGAGAGCTCTGTGTGCTGGCTGCCCCGTGTGAGGAATGAGAACTTGGGGCTCTCCTAATTAGAGAAATTGGATACTAAGACATTCAGAGTGGCCAAATTCTGGGACGAGGGCCCGTGATGCTCTGGAGATGCCCAGAATTTGCCTGGACAAGGTCCTGCATAGCCTGCTCCGATGGGGAAGCTGCAAGCAGGAGCCCAAGTATTCCAGGGGCTCTTCCAGCTTGAGTTATTCCCCAGTTCTGCCCAGGTGGCCTCACAAACCTGTCCTGCTTCGCTGGAGAAGTTGAGCTCTCTCCAAAGGAGCGTGAGGTTTCGGTGAGGGCGGCTCTGCCAGGAAACGCGGAGTCCTAAAATCCCAGGATCATTATGGTTGGAAAAGACCTTCCAGATGATTGAGTCCAGCCGTCCTCGCTCCTGGTTGCCTTTGGGTGGCACTGCAGGAACAGCTTGCAGGAGCAGGCCTGGTTGTAGCAGCTGCCTGTCCCTTGCTCCGATGGTTTCCCACTGGGAATCCTATTAAGGAAGCAGGCGCTGGGCTTGGAAACCAGCCCCTAGAGCGGGTCTGGGTGTGTGGGAGCAGCGTGCCTGTTCCTTGGCACGACTGTAGCCCACACGGACGAGCCCTGCCCCATCCCCAGGCAGGGGTTAGCCTGGTACAAGGACCGTCCCCAAGGACATATGGATGGGCCCCTACTTGGAAGAGTGTTTCACGATACAGACAGGGGTTGTTCTGCAGCACTTGGCTTTGACACTGAAGGATGGTCCTTGGGCAGTTGGATTTCCTGGTTAGACGCAGCCAGGAGGCTGTTGGGCACCACTTGTCCAACAGCTCTTGCCAAGAGATGGCCCTGCAGAGGTGACCACTGCTTGGCTGAGCTCTCTGCTCCCCAGGTAAGTGATTGTGAGAGCGTCGGGCAGGGGCAGAGCTG